CGAGTTCGGAGTCGTCGACTCTCTGACTACCACCTGTGGTCCCAACATAAGCAATCAAGCGCAATGGGTATCATTCACTCGCAGCGCTGATAATACTAGGCATCGATTCCGCAAGAAACAATGCGTCCTATCCAATTTGGAATATCTCGAGCCATGTATACATCTTACGAAAACTTCGACAAATCAGTTCGAAATTGTGTCCCGTATTTCCCATCCTCTTTTGGAGGCTTTAAATCATAAAGTAACGGTCCGACTACAAATCGAGAGCTGCTCCAAATCGGAAAGCGCGCAAAAGGTAAATCATTTTGGAGAATATTATCAAACCTTCTTACGACACATCTGAAATCTATATTCGAACATTGTATCTTCAGAATTCCGATTAGCAGCTCCCATCTCGACTCGCAATATGTACTCAGTCGCATCCATCAATGATCCCGATCAAAACAGAGGCCGGTTCCACATATCAATCCGTGAAACAATTCGAAATAGGAAATAGGCACGTCATAGAAACCAGATTTCTGGGAACACCTTCGCGACCCATCGGTAAGCCTATGGAATTACAAAGATCAGCGCGCAGGCATCGCCACCGGACATGAAAGCAACACCTAACTTACAACAACACAATTGCGTACGTTATTCTCAAACATTGCGTGCCAATACTACCTCCTAAACAACGTGATATGTGGACAAATCTGTCGTTCCAAAAATACACCTATCGGCGACCAAATATTGATGCAAACGACTGAATTTAGATACCACTACATCAAGCAATTTGCAGTGGATCCGACACGTAGCACAACAAAGCTCAAAAGCCATCAGAAGGCACGCATCTAAGGCGGCAGCTGGACACACCAAAGACCACTGCCTCCTAACGCCGACACACAACGTCCATTCACGACGATTGATAAAACGACCGCGAGTGCGATTTTTCCAGTGCCTCGTGGACGCCACCATTTAAAACAGAACACGCAACGGATTTCTGTCTGTACTACTCACACAAGCTCAATTCCCGCCCCAAAAAACTATACTTAACCATTCAAAGAATCCTCTCGCCACTACATCAACAGCATAGAAAATCTCAAACAGACTTCGTCATGTTACATTGGAGCTCCGTATCGAATGTGTACGAACATCACAAGAACCTACCCAAACAACCTCCGCTTTACGATAACTCAAACCGTGTTGAGAGTGCGATAGCTGTTGAGAAAGTTTAGCCAATCCTATCATTATCAAACAACCAACAAGCCCCAGAAACTCCCTGACGTGACCCCAAACACCAAGGCCGGTAGATGTCCCATTTCGCAAAGACCCGTGACAAGGGCCAGATTCCAGATCCCTACTCCACACTGCGAACGACAGTAGGATGTAATCCACTTTTGGAGTAAATCGACGGTCGGCACTGAGCAATAGATTATGCAGCATCCATGCCGACGGACGTACCACGGCAAATCTCTGGAGCATCTACATCGATACGAGAAGACTACGCGAGGAAAGGAAGGTAACCCTATACAATCCGATACATAGCGCGATAGCAGCAGCATACTGCAGAAGAGCACAGAACCAAGAAGGAGTGAATCAAACACCGGAATTACCGAGTGATTTCGTACGCGATAGTAATCAGAAGCAAAATAGGTAACGACAAGCAGCAACACTAGAACACTCGACTACCCACAACCACCTTTCCTATTAGCATCGACACAATTACACGATTGATTTAGGTCTCTTGACAGGGGTTTAGTGATGCCCACACTAACGCTACCAATGCTAGTGCTTGTATCTTCACCGAAGTGCCTTCATCTCCTGCGATTAGCGCAATGAAGGAGAAGCAGTCATAGGTTGAATTAGGTGAAGTCCACTCGAATTCTGTGTGAGGTGTGAAAAGTCCCGCCGAACATCGCCATACCCGGGGCAGCTGGTGCCGGCAGATGGGGAGTCATATATCTCTGGAGGAAGATATTGATTCTTTATTGTTCAGTTATTTGCGTGGGGGTTACTCGTCTTAGTGGTCAAGGTAGGAGTCAGCTGACTGTGAGCCGGGTACAACTTGACCGGCTTCCAGCTAAATTCCCAACAACTTCTCAACACTAAACTTTAACTTGACTACTAACTTTCCGGACTGGTTCTGGCCGCCCATCTCTTTTGCCACAACCTGTCGTTTCATCCTACTCCTACTACGTTTCTTTCTGTCTCGGTCTTAATCCCTTCTGCCCATGGATTCTACACGACAACCCTTTGGTGGACGACAGCGCTCCCTGAGTCCTCACCCGACGAGTTTCGACATCCACCACTGCTTCATTTGTCTCCTGCCGGCCATTCGCTCACTTCGTCGTGTTCTGCCATACCTTCTCTGTGTACGGCAACGACCCACGGTTCTTCACCCACCCTTCACCGTTCACCAAGGATTGTCTCAAGAACGACGATGAGCTCCTACCAGCTCTCCGTCGCGAAATTCTTCATGACCTCATCGGACTGAACCCAGACTCGAATCTCTTTCAACAAA